CCCGGGTTCGATCCTCAGCACCACATACCAACAAAGATGCTGTGTCCGCCGAGAACTAAAAAATAAATATTAAAAAAATTCTCTCTCTCTCTCTCCTCTCTCACTCTCTCTTTAAAAAAAAATTTTTCTATGCACTCAACAGAGGTGGGAGTCTGGATAACTGTTATTTCCTAGTTCTTGTCTGTTCATGTCAGACTTCCTTCATCTGTAGATTTGTTTCCATTGTTTATTTTATCTTCCACTACTTTATTCTGTCTCTCATCATTCCTAAGCAGTTTTTATTGAATTCTAGATTTTTAAAAAATAAGCAGTTTTGTTTCTATTGAAATTATTTTGCTCTAGAAAATAAATCTTTGATTTTTAAAGCAGGAAGGCAGATCCAATCAGAATAAATCAGTTAGGTAATTTTGTTAAGGCTGAGACTAGTTCTGGTTTACCTCTTTTTAGGGTTTAACCCTCCTGAAATTTCAACTAATTCTGTAGTTTAGGGGATTCCTACACTTGGAAGAGCATGAGCTTTAACCTTAGTTTCCACAGCATCAGTTATCCCTTGAGAACTAAATATTTTAACACTTTAACTTTAATTTTAATTATTTTTTTAAACACCCACTACAATTAGCATTTATACCTGTTCTTTTTGTGACCTGGGATGTGTGTATACGTGACTTAGATGTATTTATTTTTAATTACCTAAATTCTTGACCATAGGTTTTTTTTAAATTTATTTTTATTTTTTTTATTATTATTTTTTTAATATTTAAACAATTGTGCTTTATTTTAAAAAAGGTTAGTTTAAATGCATACAAAATTGCTGTGTAAATTGATCTCAAAAATATTTCTATAGGTAAGATCTCAGTAAGAGCAATTATCTAGTAGAGAAAGCGTATGTTTAGATTTGGACAACAAAATAAAATGGGATTCAAAAGAGTGACACCCTGTAGACCTCCTGGCCCACACCCCACCATCAGGTGGCACCTAGCACTAAGCAGCACTTTGACCCAAACACACAGGGCTTACACTGCTTGAAAATGCTTTTAGTAACTTTTTCCATAACTGTCAAGATAACCCAGATCATCAACTGCCTTCCAGTGGTCTGGAACTGCTCGTGATAATGTGAGGGGCAAAGCAGGCGGGAAAACGGAGCGACCTCCTGCAAAACACCTTCATAACCAGCGTTTTGACCATCACATCTTATTTTTTTTCCTGGCCAAAACAAAACAAGCCCTCCCCCCAAATCACTTTCTCTCATCAAACACCTTCTTCAGTTCAACTCCTCCTGTTGCAGCAAAATGAAAAGACTGAGCTGGCTTGCTCCCTCCGTAACCGTCATCTCTTGTCCCACCCCTCTGGRGTCAACTCTCCTGGTGCTGGGAGAAGTGGAGAGAAAGTGTCTGCTGAAGAGCCCCACTGGCAGCAGGAGGAATGGGAAGGGCAGGAAAGCTAAGGCCCCACACATAGCAGGACACCCAGTGTAACTATGGTGGACACCTGTCTAGCAGCCTGCAGGACAGACTTAAAATGCCTTTCATTCTAACCACAAGATGGAGGAAAGATGATGGCTGAAAATAGGTGAGACAGTCATAACGACCCCAATTAACCATTGCTGAGGTGGGTTATTTCACACTTGCAGTAACAGAAATACATGAAAGTGCAGTATAAAATTTCTAAAAATTGGATTCTTTAAAAATTTTTTCTAATTTAGGTGAGAAAAAATAGTTTTCTGACTCTCACTGTGCCAAGAAGCTTGCAGCAGCACAAAGCTGGGGTTCGCTGCTGTGCTCTCCACAGGGCAGCCCAGCAGCGTCTCCAGCGCCTACAGGACAAGTGTCCACAGGGGAGTTCCCTGCACAGGTGTTAAAAATGACCTAGCATCAGAATCCCAAGTGCTCTTCCAACCCACGCCTAAAGCCTGTTTTTAGAAGTTGTTCAAGTGTAAACGTATCTCKTTAGGTGACTCTGTTTTCTACTTGGTTAATAGATAAATGTGCAGATTAACAGTATTGAACTATAGCAGCAAAACTGGTTTTAGGTGTTTGYTGTGCACAAATATAAAATGAAGGAAGAGTCTCCATGTGGAGCGACTGCACAGCTTTCTGTCACAGGCACACGTCTACCACCAAGGAACACTCCTGGTAAATCTGAATGTTCTAGATGTCAAGAGTGCTCATCAATGACTAATCAGGCCAACTAAATCAAGGGAATTCAATATTAATTACACACTCTGATACTTGGAAATCAATTCTAATATTAGTGGTTAGTTAAGGAAGAAAACAAAAGGGAGCGTTTACCTCATGAAGTATAAAGTGTAACATAGCAGTGAAATACAAATGTTAAAAGTACTTCATATAAAACACACCAATAGTTTAAAAAAATTAAATTCTCAGGCACAGGTGTTGTAAATGTAGATGGGCACCCTTCTAAGGATCTTATGGAAAGTTGCGATGTGGCATTCATCAGGAATGTGTTCTTCTTTGTATCCAAGAGCGTTTTCTCACACGTGGTGCCCGAGCGCCCCGCTGTCCCCGTCACCGCCTTGCATCTGCATCTGCATCTGCGCCTGCATCCTCGCAATCATCTCTTGCATACGGCGGAGTTCAGCTTCCTTTTCCAGCAAGATCTGATCTTTATTCATGTCCTCGTTCTCCACTTTCCTGCCGCCTCTCTTGAGCCTCTCGGAACGGAAGTTTTCATAGTGAAGGTCCTGGGTCACCTCCTGGAGGTCCTGCATGTGAGTGATGAGCATCGTCCGCAGCTTCAGAAAGTCGTTGTGCTCAGGGTTCTCCACCTCCACCACACCCCACGGGTAGAGGTGCCCTCGGACCTTCTTGCCTTTGGCTTCGATCAGCTGGTTGGACCCCACCACAGAGAACGGGATGCTGGCCTTGAGGAGTCTTGTCTGCTCTTTAAAATCTTCATCTTCATCTGACTCTGCATCAGGTAAGTGATAGATTTTGATGTTATGTTCTTCAATTTCATCCAGAATCCTCTTCTTCAACCGCTCCCGCTCCTTCAGAGTGAGAGTGTCGGCCTTCGCAATGACAGGCACGATGTTCACCTTGTTGTGTATGGCTTTCATGAAGGCCACGTCTAAGGGCTTCAGCCCATGTCCAAAAGGTGAGATGAAGTAGAA